TCTCTATATGCAGATAATCTGTCTGTCTTCTGCATTAGTGAAACCTCCTTCCAGTTAACTCAGAAGAGAGGGACTTGAAAAAGACATCATGTCAATTAGAGACTCGCGTGCCAGGTACATTTTTCTAAGCTCAAGTAGCTAACGCATCCTTCTGCAGCATCACAGAAGTGGCCAGTTTAATTGAGCTGCAGTTACACTCAGCATTTGCAGTCCTCTAAGGAGGAGGGACACGTTGCAGTCTCTACCTGCTTGTGTGTTGCGGTGTGTCGGTGATTGTATGCTGGGATACGGAGAGAGGGAACTGTTTCCAAGTTAGCGCACTTAAAGAAAGGAGTCATAAATCATGGGGTCAGTCAGGTTGTGCTTTTTTTTAACCTTAGGGTATTATGCTTTCAATACAATCTTTCAATAGCTTTTTTCTGTGTAATAATTTATCTGGAATTATGGCAACTCTTACAAGCTTCGAAAAAATTGGCTCAAGTAAAACGAATCCTTTGTCATAAATAGGTTGTGTTCATAACTGCAGCCTAATCATTCAATTGCACATAAGTCAAATAGTTACCCAGACTTTGCAGGAATATTTCCCTGTCAATAAATCTAATGCTATTTAAAAACTCCAGGCCAATGTGACAGAAGCCTGTTAGATTAATTAGGGCAAGGTCAGAAAAGCTGAACTCACAGCTACATTCCCGTCAAGAGTTTCGTTCCACCTACCATAACCTGACTGTAAACTCACAGACCGTTTTAAACATGGGCATGTTAGGGTGACTTCATTGTTGCCATTTATATACAAAGGCAGATTTCTTCAGGAATTGTTTCTTCTCTCTGACAACAGTCAACTAAGCATGCAGCTGAGAAGAAATGTTTTGCTTTGTATTCACTGTCAATAAAGGGGTTTTTTATTGTTAAATGTTTTCCCCTATCGGTGACTTCACAGTAATTGGGCTGCAACCAGGGTTCATGAGACCGCACGACCATAAAGGCTGCAGAACTGTCAAGAGGCAGGCAGTATAATCAAAATTTCACTACAAATAGATCATCTCTGTGGGAATGAGTGGACAGTATTGTCTCTCTGCCTGTTCCATTCTTGACCTTTATCATGTGACCATCCAAAAGGAAGGTGCCCCAGATCTGATGGGTTTTGTGTGAAGTGGACCCTGGAGGTGAAGTTCTGACCTTGGCAGGGTCAATATTTCATCTGAAATCCCTTGAGACGGGCCTCCAAATCATTTCGTAGGCTTGCAGCTTCTATCAGATGGTAGCTAGCTGACTTTCATTTACTACTGACTTAGGTCAAACTTGGACCAGGGATCAAGAGATGAAAGGCTCTATATCTCATTATCAATAATCAGTGTTCTGCACTACCCTAAAAAGGACATACTACATTCTTATCTACAAGGCCTTAAAACTTAAAAGGGTTGGGGTCAAATTATGTTACTTCAATTTATTTTTATTCACTGCTTATAAAACAACTTCCTCTCTCACTGCCATAGCTAACTGCTAAAAATGTAAACATTTCCCTTGCTATTGTAGAGGTTCTACTATTGTTTTTCTTTTAAAGCCTTATTAAAGATACAGCAATAAAGAAAAATCCCTCCCATACACAAATTTAAAGAAGAAAAAAAAATTACAGAGGTCAAGGCAAAGCCAGGCCTTACCAATCTCAAAACTATTTTCAGCAAAGCACAATCTTGTATGTATGTTGCCTTATAACAGAGGGGTGGATCCTCCCCAGAAGTTTTCCATAGTTACACAAGTCCCGATACGGACAGAATATCCTCTGAAATGATAGAGCCAGTTTTCCTTCTCATGTGAAGACATACAACTTCTCCGATTTTGCTGGAATTAAGTTTTCTTAGACCAGTTACAGATATGGCCCATAATTTTAGGGAAATAATTCTGAAATATTAACAAGAAGCTTTGGAAGGAAAACCCTGTTGTTACTGAACAAAGAGAACATAGCATCCACTTCCACAGCGACTTGCAATGCTCTGTATGTAACTGCATACTTAAACAGACAGAGATTTTACCATGACTCCAGATACCTGTAAAATGTCAAACCCCTCCTTTGTTATTCTGTGACAGCCTTCATGGGCAAATTGATTTGCATTATTCCCAAAACAGGGGTATGCATATATACACGTGGAAGAAAAGCAATGAATTACAGTCAATGGCATGAAAAGAAACTTCTGAATACTTTAAGGAAAAAAGAGGTTAAATAAAGTTTACTGTTTATGCTGGGTTAACAACTTTTTTCTCCTACTAGGAGTAAAGCTGTAGGCATCTAGGACCTACACAGTTGCCCTCCTGAACCTAACCAACCTTTTCACCAGTTTCTCATTCAGACAATACTTCACCCAAAGTGTTGCCAATTTCTGGACTGCCAACAACTGGGGCAGAGGGAAGGAAGGACTCTTGATTACTGGCCACTGAAGAGAACTGCTTCTGCACAACCTCGAAAACAGAGTTCTAGGTGATCCATTGCAATCCAACTCTTTCTGGCAACATTTTTGCCACTCCTGATCTAGGACTGAAAGAGGACTTGTTCCTGTGAACACTTGCTCAACATGACCAGCTCCTCTCACATCTTCTTCCTGATCCAACGGGAGCAGTGTTAATCGTACAAGGCCTTCCAGAAACTGACCTTTTCTGCTTAATGACAGATAACATCCTCATGTGTTTCTGTACGTAAGATGTAAGCCATCTGCAGAGATTCTTACAGGCACTATGACAGTAATGGCTGAGGGAAAGCATGGGGAAACAGAAAGGAGAGAAGAGAGGTGACAGGGGCATGGGTGGAGACGCAGTCTCTGACCTGGATCTGTTGCTGAAGAAGGTTAATTTTGTGTTGCTGCTGCAGGAGCTGCTGCTGTTGTCTTGCAATCTGTGGAGAAATTGCACAGAAGAAACGTGAGAGATGCATCATCATTCCTGGAGCCAGTACAGAGGAAACTTCCACCCTGCTCGGTTCTTTAAACCTTCAAGTGCGGGCGGGGGGAGCCTGGACTGCAGCTGAAGCAAGGGGCTCGTGGTTCAGGCACAATTCATAGCTAACACTAGTGTGAAAGGGAATCTTATGGAAAATGCTGTGCTGGATATTAAGAGAAGGAGTGATGCAAAAATATTTCCTCTCTCATTATCTGAAATGGCGCTGCTAAAATCCCCCAAAAGTGAGCACTCATTTGCTCCAACTTGCTGGAGGAAGAACAATACTGGCAGAGAAATTGGAAAATAGTAGGAGAAGTCAGGAAAAGCAAAAAAGTAGGATGGGCAGTAATATTCCTTTTATGCTTGGCACCACCTATTCAAAAATTCCAAAAAAAGGAAATCTGACACCCAGGAGGAAGGTATTAGCGTGCGTATTTCCTTGAACAGACACAAAGAGACTGGAACTGGGTTTGGGAAAATCACTGACTCTTCAATGTGTGCATCAGCTGAAAGGAACTAAGGGGGCACTGCGAGGCTACACAGCTCAACACTGCAACTGATCTACAAAAACTGATGGAGTAGTTGTTAAGTCTCCTCTCAAAGTCACGTGTGTTTTCCATGAGGACTTCCATCCTCCCTCTCCATTGACTAAGTGATAGGGAACCCTACTGTAGACAACTTTTACACCCAGTGAAGGAAAAAGGAGACAGCAACGGAACCAAATTACCAGTTCTCAGAGGACTGATGGAAATAAACCATTATGTATCTCAAACTTAAAAAGCAAACTTGAAAAACTTTCATTTGAGTCATCACAAAAGCTCCGCTCTCGTGAATAGCTAGCACAGCAGTACAAACATGAGAAGGAGTATTGCTCTTCCCCTGTGGCATGTGTACACATCTCAGGGTCAGATGGGAACTTATACATACTTACTGGGAGGAATTTTGCGCATTCTTCCCCTTAGGTATTTTCTTTCATTTCTATTATTAAACTATTAGCATAAGAAACACTCGCTCATAGTTAACTCCACATCTAAAAGACTAGATGTTTTCTTTCTAGAGCCTCTCTTTAAGCAACCAAAATAATTTTTATTGATACATTTTTTGAAAGTTTAGTTATTTTAATTTCTGTATAACACAGAATTATACACAATTTCTTAAATTAAAAGAAATCCTTGTTATCCGAATAATAATCCTGCAGGATTTCTTACTGCCTTTTTCCATTCTCCCCATTTTCTTTTTTCACTTTCAGATCGTTCAGCCATCCTGTAGCAGTAGTGACTTTGAAAGACAGGGCAAAGAAACAGCTCCTGCAGGACGTCTCTTCATGGAAGAGGGAGACCTTCACACCTTCATCTACCTCCTCCATGTAAACAACAGTGTGATACAGATTCTCTAACAGATAAATCACTTCTCCTCCTCGCCCTATGTGGGATTTCAGGTGTGAGGCCCAACTACACAGTATTTAAGATGAAGTTTTTAAATAATCAGAAATAGGGAAAACCAAGGCCAAAGTGTCTGAAGATGTCAGCAGTGGTTTAGAATCTTAAGGCTCGCTTGGTACAATACAAACACTGAAGTATGACAACTATGACAGATTTCAAAGAATTTTGAGAGTTGCATAAAAGTCACATAGCTGCAATTCTATGATATAAATCCGAATTTCATTACAAGCTGAAATAAATGGTCAGGCAGGCCAAAACGCTTTCACATAGGAGGTATCAGGATGGACCCCTGGCAAAACTTTAAACCAGATGTCTAAGGAATCTCTGCTCACGTTCAGGTACAAAAATGGACATTCATTTCTGTTAAAGCTTGCATAGTGCAAACATGTCAGAAAAGTTGTGTTCTTGTATAAAATATCATGTGTCCATGTGTGCACGTTGGAACTGTTCATGTGTGAAAACATGTTTGCATTTTCAGTGGAGGGCATATTTGCAAGAGCCAAAAATCAAGCCTTTCAAGCGTAGAAGGAAAAAAAGTCGCATTTGTTCACTGACTTTATATTCTTCTCCCCACTTTTCTGCACAGTTGGGAAAACCAATCCTTTCATTTGTCATACTACAATCTAAACACTGCATTTTGTTCCTTTTATACCTATTCAGCATTGCTCAATTCAAGCAGCATTGGAAGATTATTTGGGAGGGCTGAATTTGGACGATTATTTACACTTATTTTTAGAAAAAAACACTATTGGAAGGGAGCCCCTCCAAACTGGAAGGTGTATCTTTAAAAGACAAAGAGCACTATTTTATACATTGCAAATTAAAGCATTCTTCCAATATGCTTTTGTTTAAACTTCTTCACCTAACAAGACAAATGGAAAAAAAAAATCTGGGTGGAGATCAAACTTAGGAAGTATCAACCCTAGAAGCTAAGCTACTGGAAAGTCCTCCTAGAAAATGATTTAAGCAGCAAGCCGCTGTAATAATCACTCACCTGTTCTTGTTGCTGCTTAGCCAGTTCCATTTGTTGGCGTTGTTTCTCGATCTGTGATGCAGCCAGTTTCTTCTGTTCATCATGAGCTGCTAGCAGCTGTTCTCGCAAACTGGTCAGCTGATTGATCATACCCATGAGCTGCCTTTCTTTCTCAGCAAGGCTTTCTGGAGTCCCTGGGCATCATATGGTGGGGGAGAAAAAAAAAAAGGTAGAGAGAAGAGAGGAAATTTAGAGCTCGCCAGGTTTTTATTTTGCAGCTTCACTGTAAGCAAAGTTTTAGTAGAAGCAAAGAGCAGCAGCATATTGCAATATACTGCACATTAAGACGCGTCCCTCTACAGGAAAACGAGCCATGGAGGATAATTCTGTACAGAGGCTTTGATCCGGTGTCCCCTTTCAGTGTTTCCTTGCCTTTCTGTCTATTTCCCGCTGCTTTTTTATCAGATTAATAGGGGGGAAAACTACTGCCTGTTTTGACAGCGTTTCAAATTTTAAACATTGTTTACATTGCGTGGGGATGAAAATCAACGCTTCCAGTTTCGAAAGACAATTACATTTTTTGTCAGAAACGTATGACAAAGGCCCATCGATGCGTTGAGGCTTACAGAAACTGTAAGGTGTGCATCAAGGTCCCTCTGTAAGCAAGGGGAAGCAGAGGAAGCTCCTGGGTGCCGGGTCCCTCTCCAGCTCCCCACACCCAGCTTTCCCACTGTTACCGGCACAGCACGCCACAGCTGCCGGGACGCTACCTGTTGTTTCATCTGCAGCTGCCCTGGTTAGGATGAAACTATACAGTATTTAAATTGTCAATAACTGCTATCGCTGTTGCTGCCACCGATGAGTATTTTTAAAGGAAAAAGTCTCGCACAAACACATCAGAAAAACTGGGTTAAACACAACTCACCGTCTCTCTCATTTGTACTGCCATTAGATGTGTTTTATAGGAGAGTTCAGCAGAGACAGACAGAGGAACTGACTACCTCGCTCTCATAATCACTCCGTAAAAATTCTCCTTCTTACCCAGAAGGACAGTGGTTATAAGGGAAGGAAAGAAAAAATTCCAGGAAAAATCAAAAGCTATGAATCACACACTAAAACAAAAAATGGCACTATTAGTACACCCAGTATCATTTGACTTTGAATTTAAAAGACCAGAAAATATGTGTAGCAGCTAATCCACAGATATCTCCAATACCACCACGCCCTCTCACATGAGTCAGACCCTATGAAACCCTTTCTCAAAAAAGCTTTAGGAAAGGATTAAGGCTATCAGTGTCTATGCCTCCTCTGAAAATAGCCTGCTTTTGGGACAACCCTGCCACACAAACCTTTCTCAAACACAGGAAGCGTTCTTCTGCCAATGTCACCAGTGCTCTCCAAGTGAAAAAAAAAGAAAAAAAAAAAAGAAAAATTGGCGACTATACTAAACATGTTCCTAGCCAACTATCAGTCAGACATGGAAAAGAGCTACTGGTAATAGCTCATTTAGTCTACCCCCGATGAGTATTTTTAAAGGAAAAAGTCTCGCACAAACACATCAGAAAAACTGGGTTAAACACAACTCACCGTCTCTCTCATTTGTACTGCCATTAGATGTGTTTTATAGGAGAGTTCAGCAGAGACAGACAGAGGAACTGACTACCTCGCTCTCATAATCACTCCGTAAAAATTCTCCTTCTTACCCAGAAGGACAGTGGTTATAAGGGAAGGAAAGAAAAAATTCCAGGAAAAATCAAAAGCTATGAATCACACACTAAAACAAAAAATGGCACTATTAGTACACCCAGTATCATTTGACTTTGAATTTAAAAGACCAGAAAATATGTGTAGCAGCTAATCCACAGATATCTCCAATACCACCACGCCCTCTCACATGAGTCAGACCCTATGAAACCCTTTCTCAAAAAAGCTTTAGGAAAGGATTAAGGCTATCAGTGTCTATGCCTCCTCTGAAAATAGCCTGCTTTTGGGACAACCCTGCCACACAAACCTTTCTCAAACACAGGAAGCGTTCTTCTGCCAATGTCACCAGTGCTCTCCAAGTGAAAAAAAAAGAAAAAAAAAAAAGAAAAATTGGCGACTATACTAAACATGTTCCTAGCCAACTATCAGTCAGACATGGAAAAGAGCTACTGGTAATAGCTCATTTAGTCTACCCCCCTGCCAGTACAGGAATGTTCCCTACAATATATTTACTACAGCTTTCTAGATTGGATTGAAACATCTTGAAATGGTGAATCATCTACTGCTTTCTTTGGAAGACTGTACCACAGCCTGAGAGGTGTCACTGTTAGGGCTCTTTGCTCGATAGTTTAATTTACGTTCACTTCATTCCAACCTTGCGCTCCCAAGAAGCATCCCATCTGCTACGTCAGCCAAGTCCAAGCCCTTAAATGCATTTGTGGACAGCCATACACAGGGGGAAAACACAAAGAATCAACATTTTTCATATAAAGGAAGTTTATTTGCTTTATATGAAAAATTATTAAGATGCTAGAGATTTACGTGCAGATACTCTCATCACGGAATGAAGAACTACAGCAGAACATTCTCAGATGTAGCCTCTAAAAAACCTGTGGTACAAGCTGGAAACTAGAGAAACACACTGAAATAGAAACCATAGGACTTTAAGCCTGTTCTGTTAACAGCCGTGAGAAAGAATGGAAGCCAGTGCTAAAATACTGACACTGCTGAAGAAAACACTTTGAACCGACCATTTTTATTTCAAACATTGGAGACGGAGAACGGCTACAAGTAATGCATTTGCTACCTGGCCATACAATTAATCACAAATTTCTATTGCCACTCTTCCATCCTTCATTTCTTTTTCCCTAGGAAAAAGGGTGCAGTGTTTCCAAGTGGGATAGAAGAACTATTCCAGGAGGCAGCCCCTTCCTTGTCCTGTCGGCGGCTAGCATGGCGGTTTACTGTAATGCTCATCTAATAAAGACGTATCAGTATGCTGATACTGGCAGCGTAACACGCTGGGCACAGTGAAACATCTGAAAACGAAATATGTTATTTATTTATTCAGCAGATATTTTATTCCAAACTTTTACTGAGGGTGGGTGTGCACGAGAGAGGGAGGGAGAAGGACCCAGATTGAGGAGGAATACACAGAATTGGTTTAGTCCTAAAGTTAGGGTAAGCAGAAAGAAATCCCTGTCAAGTAAACTGTTTGACAAATACACCGCGACACATCAAAGATCTTCAGCCAGTACCGGTTCATCAGTGTATTTTGAGCTCCTACAGTAGCTTTCAGTTGGGAATCAAGAAGCACTTTGTAAAGTTAAATTAATCCCCACCACACCTTTGAAAGGTGGAAAAATGTTTCCATATGCGTAAACCGACAGACAGAGGGGTCACAGAGTTAGTTACCAGCAGCGGCAGGATAAGAAACGTGGATACCCAGCCCTGTGCTGCGAAGTCCCGAGAGCGAGAGGAAGGCTCCGCAGGCCCCCCCCCCCCGACCACCACGCGGAACTGCCGCGCGGCGGCGGGTCTTCTTCTTCAATCTGATCTACCTAGAGAGGAACAAAAAACCTCTGCCCCGGGAAAACCACCGCTTTATTTGAACTGCAGGGATGAGAGGAAGGAAAGTCTGGGTGAACTAAGAGCGAGCGGTCAGGGCGATGGAGTGCCAGTGCAGACGCCGGAGCTGCAGGCACACCGCGGCCAGGCAGCTGGGGACAAATCCACCAAACTCAGTCTCTTCATAATTACTCAGTTTTTAAAGAAACTTTGAGATGCCCAAAGGGGGTGCTTTATGTACGAACGGAGTTAAGTACAGTGCATAATTCCTTGGGCTTAAAAAACTGGGAGTGGAAGTAGTCTGACAAAAGGCAGCCTTCTTGCATCATATTTCTTGAGCAATTTCAGTTTGCCAATAAACCAAAAGGGAGAATTTAGCACTGTCAACTGCTAAAACAAATCTTTTGTTGGAGAACGCTTTCTGGAAAACATGGCTTAGTAGGTACTTTATTTTCGTGTGATTAACCCGCCCTTCCAATAACTTCAGTAATACTTAATAATTTCAATTCCTTCAGGTGTCGTCCCTTGCAAAATAAGTACTTGGATAGCAATACTCTCAAGTGACCTGCACAAAACCAGAGGCAAGAGAGATCAGATGTGTGGGTCTACTGGGAGATGGTGAGTTTTGGGGTAGATTTCCCCTTGCCTTACCCACACACCCATACAAGCCCCACTAACAATGAATCAGGTAGTTCTGAGGTTTCTTGCAGACAACAGGTAGCTTATAAAAGTGTGAAAATTAAAAAGAAGAAAACCATTTGAATCAAATTGTCTTGATCATAATGTAAAGTGCTTGCATTTAGTTTAAGTTTCGTATTTTTTATGTTACCCTTATTACCTAGCACAACTTCTCTGTAATTTCTTTTGTGGAAACGGCCAATAGAACTGCCCATTTCACAGATGGCATTCGTAAATTACTTAAGTTTGCGTAACAAATGAAGGCCAAACGATATTTGATGTTATTTATTTAATGGTGAGCCGAGGGCAACAGCTCGGTCACTACATAAGTACACTCAGTGACAGGAATTTTTTCTGGTGTATTAAAACGCCCTGCAGAGTTAGAGCACCAGTTGCCATTTCTGTATCCCTCTCTAGATGCTGTAGACTGTGGGTAGGACAGTGGACTTCTGTCGTCTTCTGTCCTGTCGTCGCTGTTTTCTCTCCACTAACCCGCATGAGATCGAAACCTTTATCATCGTGTGAAGTGTCTTGGCAGCCAAGGGATTTCCATTTTAAGAATTCTGTAGCTTACAGGGCAAAACGTGACAGTATTTTAAGTAACTACAACACCAACCGCATAAAGACAGTTGCTTAAATTATGCTACTCGGGAATTAATGAACTTGTCCTAGAACTTGGGAGGCAGTGCAAACCTCAGTGAGAGTAAGTCACCGGCCCCAGCAGCCACCTTCAGCCCCTTCGTTACTAAACTCACTTAGAGCTGCTCCAAGTAATACAGAGGTGGGAATGGTCCTGGAGCTGGCCTTAGCCCCACACACGGCATCCATAGGGTTGCAGTGCTTTCACTTTAGCCGTGCAGCCCAGCTGGGAGAAAAAACAAGTGTCCGTTATTGCAGTGTACAACCTGACAGTGAGCTAGACCCACTTCACACAGGTATTGAGTGAGGAGTAAAGGGAGAGTGG